AAACTAGACAAAATGTGCAAGATGTGAGGGGACCCCGTTTATCACGGCTCTGGCTTTTTTTTTTTTATTTGAACTGAAGTTAATTGATGCACGAATCTGATTTATTAACATAAAAATAGAAAAATAAAATCTAATAATTTAAATAATTTAATGATAATTTTTTTTTAACAATAAAATAAATTTTTGGCACCATAACAAAAGAAGTGGCAACGAAGAGTCCAAGGCGGGAGAGGATAAGAGCAAATAGTGCGTTTTTTTTTTTTACAACAACAATAATTAAAAGTTAGATGTTAAAAATTAATACTTTATTTTTTGACAAAATTCAACTACTAATTAAGATGTATTTTACTGATAACTTTTTTAAATTACATTCAACCACTAATCAAAATGCATTTCACCGATAAACTTTTTAAACTAGTAGCAGCACTGAACTCGAACGGGGCGAATATAGTGCGTTTGGATTACTTTCTTGGAAGGCATATCGTACAAATCAGCCCTTATTTAACGGTCATGTCAATATTTCGTTAAAAAGTAACGGTCCTTTAGTATGAATGGATGCCACAACTTATTTGGATGCAATGTGGCCCCATTAAAGTCTAATATCACTTTTCGATGTGACCCATTGAAGTCTGATATGACTGTTCGTATCATTAAATTATTAATATTTTTAAATTTTCTTAAATGTTTAATTAAAATTTAATTACTATAATTTTTTTCATACATTAAAAATTTAATTACTTATAATGAAAATCAATTAGATTAATTAAATCTTAATTGTTACTTTATCAAGTAAACAAGAATTGAAAATTTTATGTACTGTAAAATGATTTCACAACTAAATAAAATCTTTTTTTTTAATTTATAAAAATTATCTCAATTTAAAAATTATGAGAAATTAATTGTAAATTTAAAATTAAAAAAAATAGTTTCGAAGGAAAAGAAATTCAGAAGTATGAAAATTACATAAACTAATTTTTTATATAAATTAATTATAAAAATGTGTATTAATTACATCTAGGTTAGATAAATTATTATTGAATTTTTTTTTTGCTACTTATTCTTTTAAGGAATTTTTTAATATGTCTTCTAAAAATATAAATTAGAGATGTATTTACTTTTTATTATTAATTTGTTTAAAAAAATTGACTTTAATTTTATTAATTAAATTTTATTTAATTAAAATATCACATGACTTGATATTGAAAATAAAATTTAATTTTTTAATTTTTTATATAAATTAATAATAAATATGTATAATAAATATATATTTAATTTATACTTTAAAGATACAAATTAAAAAATTAACTTAAAAAACATTAATTTAATTTATTTGATTAATTTTACGTTTATAAAAAGATGATTATAAATGGGTAACATTTTTGTATATTTTTTAAATATAATTTTTATATGTCATTAAATGAATAAATATATTTAATATTATAAATTTTAAATGAATTAAAAGAATTAATTATTTAAAAAAATATAAAATTATACTAAAAAATAATATTAAAAAGTTACCTCAATTATTTTTTCTTAAAAAAATATTAAAAAGAAAAAAAAAAGCTACATCAAGTCCAGTGCGACAGTGCACCCTACAAAAACATAAACTCGGTTAAGTTTGGACGGAATGATGACATCAGCCGTTGGAGAAGGGCTGATTTGTCACCTTTGACGAGTTTAAGGGGTCATATGCTACTGTTTTCAGTTTAGGGGCTTTTTTGTTACCTCCCAATAAGTTTAGGGGGTAATTTGCATGAGAAAATAATCCCT